GCCTGTGCCTATACATTCCTATTATGTAACTTGGCCTATATTCAGACAGTCAAAGCTGTGCTTTATTGTGAAATTACTTACTCGAATCTATTAGTGGTTGTGATTGGCATTAAAGTCAGCAAAGAATAAATCTCAATTCTTTACTGTGATGGATTTTCTGGCAGCAAAGGATCTTGGAAAGCCTTCCACCCTTGTGCTCGCTTGCCAATTTAAATCTCCCTCTCTCGGCGATGCAGCTTCCGCTTTCAGGACCATGAACAGCGCCGTCACTCCTTTTTTTTTTCCCTTTTTTTTTTTTTTTTTTTTTGTCATCGAGAGCTTATACGGCAAGCTTGAGGCGGGGAGGTAAACTTTTGCCGATATCAGAGTGAAGGTTTATAGCGTGTGTATCCGAAACTGTTCGCGCGCCTTCAGCCCAATGTTCACCACAGTCCGTCGCAGCGATAAATAAGTGCGGCCACGACCGAAAGGGAGAGGCACCGAAGATAGGCTCCAGATATGAAATGAATATGCACAGAGACGATTCCGTCAAACAGATTTGTTGCTGTCTGCCGCCGGGCTGCTAAGGAATAAAAAAAATAACAACCGCGATAACAATAACAAGAATAAGAATAATAAAAAAGAGAGGAAAGAATCGGGCGACCTGCAGAGCGAGAAGAGAGCCGAGCGGAAAGGACTGCTGTGCGGGGGGACGCAAAGGGACTGGATCTGCATGTGAGACCGCTGGTCTACTCACACCGGAGGCAAGAGATGCAGCCTGCGAGCAAGCTCCTGACTCTGATTCTCCTCATCTTCATGGGCACAGAACTCACCCAAGTAGGTTGATTTTTAATTTTTAACGCCATTTTTCCACCTCTTGTTTTTTTTTTTTTTTTTAAAAGGTCGAAGTAGCGGTTAATTGGCTCCAGATCCAGTAAGAGATTACCCGCTTTACCTCGCATGAAAGAGCCGGGTGAATTAGCCCTCTACAACCTACCCCAGCTTAAACAGATTAACGGGCGGGATTACACGATGTGAATACATTGTGGTTGACGGGGCGCGGACAGGTCCAGGAGAGCCCCCCGCTCAGTGCCTCTGACAAACGGGCCAGATAGAGGGAGAGGACTGCACGGTCGGTCAGTTTCCTCATCATCAACTGGTCCGATTAATCAGCTGCAGCACCATCCTAGTACGATAGAAAAGGGTTGCCTGTAGCATTATGTGTGTGCGTGTGTGTGTGTGGTGGTGGGGGGAGGCCATTGTTGGAGGATGCTTTTAAAAGAGGGGCTCCACAACCAAATGCAGAGTCTCATAGAAGGTGTTCTGAGCATGCTCCGTGACCACAGTGTGACTTGCTGGTGCCTTTGTGAAGAGAAACGAACACTTGAGCCACTCAGCTCAGTAGTTTTCAAACACTGCCCATCACTAAAGTGCAGATGTGGGATTCTTTACTGGAACTATGAATTACTTCATGGTGTGCTTAAACACCATTTGTAGAAATGCATAAAGCAGATACTGTTGCAGTAAATTGCTTGCTTTGTAAATGATCACAAACAACAGGCTTTGGTGGTTGGGGAGAGAGTGAGGAAGTGGGTTTATTTATTTCAGGGCCGTGCCGTGGAGAATTTGTGCATTTAGTTGTCTTTGTGCGAGCACAAAGTGATACTTCATGGAATTCTCTGTTGTGTGAATTCAATTGCGGCTGCTAATTAGAGGCCACAGAAAACAAATAAAAGTGACAGAGTGACACTGAGGTACTATCAGTAAACATGTATCTGTGATATAATCCAAGCGACAGACTCAATACAATGTGCTAGAAGTAGGTTGCTGCAAGCCCCGCTGGCCCTGGCAACAACGTGTTAGAACAATATTGGCGTTATACCACTTTGACAGAAATATGCCAGCAATTGATTTCCTCAATTTTATGAGAAATGTCAGCGAGCTGTGAGGCGAACTTTTTTTTCTTTTTTAATTCAGAGAACATAAGCCTGGTTTTGACATTTAGCTGGTATTTGATTTGTAATTTGATCAAAGCTCTAACCTTACACAGAGTTCGTACTGGTGTACATTTAGTCTTTTTTTCTGTACTGAGGCAACAAGTTTGAAATACGGGACCGGACGTTACAGCTCAGCTGCAGAGTGCAACAGAAACGCTGACACATCGGGGTCAGTTTGGACAGTTTGATGAAAGCCATCAAGTGGGAGCGGAGTGGAAAAACATGGCGATTTTCATGACATTCTCTTCAAGTCCCACGTGGCAATGCGCGGCCCCAAGTTACAGTGACAGTTTTTCCACGATGGACTGAGAAGTGTGTGTCATCTGTTCAAAGGTAAGTCCATATTAGCCTGTAGAAATACCTGTCAGCTCCCTTCCAGAAGCCCAAAAAGACTAAATACACTGACAGGCCCTATTTCTACTCCTGCTTTGGAAACCTGCAGTGCATTTTTTGCTGTTGGACAGCCGGGCCTCTCCACATCGCCTCCCGGTTTGAAGGCCAAAATATATCCAGTGAGAGGTGGATCTAAACTCTACAAGATAGAGAGCTTTTCACTGCCAGATTACTCATCAGAAGAAGAAAAAAGGAAAAAAAAAACACCCAAGCAGCCCGCCCTCAACCTGTGATGCTGAACAATGCCGCCCTCATAATGGCCACATTAACCACCTTGCTTCTCACACAGTTTGAGACAGCGTAGGGCGGCCACAGCTCTTTTCTTTACATCTCTTCAAAGTAGCGGGGGGATGCCTGATTAGCGACGACCTCTCTCTTTTAAATCTGCCCACGTTCATTCACCTTCTATCCTCCACTCTGCCGAAGGATTTGGCGACTGACTAGCCTTCACATAGAGCAGAATAGTAAGCAGCCAGAACGGCATCTGTTCCTCACCTAGTGGCTCAACCCCGAGCTGCAAACCCACATCCTGAAGGATAGATGAAGCAGTTATAACAGTCAGTCCTCATCCAATGATCATCCTACAAAAAAAGACTATCAACACATGTCGCGCACTCTTACAACCACTCTGACACAAAATAACGCAGCTATTCTTTCTCATTTAAGTGGAAAGCTGCCAATATGTCTGCCCCTTTAAACAACAACAAAAAAAGCTCCAACAAAAGAAACCGTTTGAAACCGTTAAGGATTTTTAATGTATGAAAAAGAAAGAAAGAGAAATCAATCAGATTTTATGTGAGAACGCAGAGATGGAGTTGAGCTGAATTGCAATATGCGTGGTGTGATTGGCAGGCGGGGTTGAAGCTATTTATTATTCAGTATGGCTGGCTGAGCGATGAAGCAAAGGGGAGAGAGAGAGAGTGAGAGCAGAAGAAGAGTAGGTGGAGGTACGGTGCATTTTGTAGTGCACTTGCAGGCTGGAAATGTGAATTTTTCTCTTCTCCGCTTTATTAAACTGGATACTGAATGTGACAGAGTGGTTATCCTGCTGTAGGCATGCAATATAAACATCAGCTCACTACAAACTACAGCAGCCTGTGGTCGTCGGAGACCACCTTTTGTGCTAATGCTCAGCTTTTAAATGTTTTCCAGTAACTTCTGGGTCTCCAGTTTGGTAATTTTTGTTGTGGTTGGATGCGCTTCTTTATTTGCCCTGGTATAGCTACACATCTTGTATTGCAAACTGACATTAATGAAGGCAAACCCACAAAACACAAACCACATTCTTAAAAAAAATAAAAAGGTTTGTATAATTTGAGCAACACCTCTCCATCAAATTTGTATTTGTGTAGGGTTATTGCATTAACTTGTATAACTAAAACTGTGCAAATGCTTCCAGTGCATCCATCCACTTGAGGTCTTGTAGGCATGTGTAAAACACTGATTGGCTACTGAGGAGTTCTAATAAAAGATTTTGATTTGTCTGGCTTTCTGGCAGGTCAACGACTGATCGGTGAGTTTAAAAGAGCACTTGTGGCCTTCCTCTTGCTTCAGTGTCGATCATTTTATATTAAATAACTGGCCCTACTAAATGTGGGGGTCACTAGCTTTGGAATGATGTGGAATCCACAACGGTGAAGCCTGAAACCTGAATAAATCCATGCTTTACAAAGCTTTGCTGTTAGAGACCCCCTGCTGTGCTTTGCTGAACTGCACCGCAACACACAGGGTGAGGACCCGAGTGAAGCTGATCCCTGCAACACGTTGAAGCCGCCTCTTTTTGAGTTCTCACCTCAAAGGTCAGGGAGAAGTGTTGAGAGATTAAGAGCAGCCAGAGAGCGAAACAGACAGAGAGTAAGAGGAACACATAGGTGCAGCGAGCGCAGGCTTTCCTCTCAGCTTTTCAGTTCACCAGTGAAATGCATTATGGAGTTGACAGAAATAGCCCAAAACTCTCTTTGCTATTCTGGGGGACCTCATGTATCATGCAGTACTACAATTTAGCCCATAGGCTGGAGCAGTGCCCCATAGATCTGCTGGTGTAGACTCAGGCTCTGGACGTTTCCTGGTATTATCTGAGCAGCTATAGCCAGCTGATAAAATAAAACACACCTGCTGAAGATGACAAAATCAAACTGGCTTTGAAAACACACCTAAAATATTTGAAGACCTAAAATAATCAATAGATGAGGAAAAAAATAAAAACACTAAGTATGGGGTTTTTTTTGTAGTAATCAACCGCTTTCCTGTAAACGTGTCTTTTTTTTCTTTCTTTCTTGCATTTCAAACATTTAGTATTAGTATTATTGTTCATTTTTTTTAATTATTATCATTTTTCCCAGCAATGCCAGAATCTGTTGCACGGTGGCGCCAGAGTTCCACGAATCAAAGGCTCATCCTTTGTTTTGGGCTGAAGCCTCCAGTATCCCATCAATAAAACATATTCCGAGCCCTACCACATCACTGCCATTGCAGTGCGACACCCTACATTTGTGTGTGTGTGTGTGTGTGTGTGTGTGTGTGTGTGTGTGTCACACACTCGACTACTGCTGCAGCGGTTGTTTTAGTTAACAATGGTTACCATGCAGGACGCGATGATGTTTGCGCCTGTGTCCAAGTGCCTTTAATCCTCCTTTTTTGATGGGTGGGCTGTGGAGAAAGAAATGTCATTGCTTGCTGCTATAAATAATCCCGCAGCATCATTGTGGGCCGACCTCGGTCGCACTGCTCATTGCCATCCCCTCAGGGGACAAGTTAGTGTCGACCCAACTATGAGCGACTTCAGGCGCAATCCCAGATATTACCACGAACGGACCCAACCTGGCTGACATCATTGCGTCTGGTGATATAGATAGATCCGTAGTACCTCCTCCTTCCTCTTCACATCCATTTGGAGCCGCCTGTGTGTGTAGTCAGTGGCACTTAATCACAGAGCGCAGCAAGGCAGGAGGCGGACCGTCGGGCGTGAACGAAATAGTAACGGCGAACCGGAGAGGCGGCAGTGTGCGGGACAACGCGGGCAGAGGAGCTATCCAGAGAACGTCTCCAGAACGTCTCCTCTCGGGTTTTAGCCCCCCTCCTCTTACTTTATCCGTGCACCGGATCGCGCCGTGCAGTTTTGCTCTCCGTCCCGACCCACCAAGTCTCGCTCTGCCGCCGGAGCTTCCGTGGAAATGTCCAAAAAAAGAACAGCCGAGCCGGAGTCCCGGGTGAAACACGAAGATGCTCTGGGCACCGCGACTCGCCTCTCTCGTTTCTCCCTGGAGTCTGTAGAATGAAGGCGACTTAAATTGAAAAGAAGAAGAAGAAGAAAAAGTCAATAGCAGAGCGCAAAAGATGTCGGTGCCTTTGCTGAAGATCGGCGTCGTGCTGAGCACCATGGCGATGATTACCAACTGGATGTCGCAGACCCTCCCCTCTTTGGTGGGGCTCAACACCACCAGGCTCACGGCGGCGCAGGGAGGGTACCCAGACCGGAGCACAGGAGTGAGTTTCACTGTTTACTGCCAGTGGCTGGCTTAAAAAAAAGGAACAAAAATTAAAATAAATCCTAATAACAATTAAGAAATAAATTTCCAATTAAAATCCAGTCCAGATATAGTCACAGAGCTACTCTCGTGGGTGCCTTTGGTTTATAATTTAGAGCAGAAATTCACGCGCCTGCAAGAGTAAGAAAAAAAAAGACTTGGAGAGAGCGTAATACATTCGTTCCTTCTTGCGTTTGATGTTGCTCCAGTTGCCTCTGCTACTGCTGATATGAGCATCCCCCACTAATGAAAAGTTATCATTTGGTAGTTTTGATGTGGATGCAAATGTGAAGAGACGCGGTGTTGCAAAATGAATGGCGTGGGGGGAAAAAACATTTCAAAGGAGTCTTATATATTCGCTCTGTAACAGCAGGAGTCTTCATTCTTTCTTTATATCCTTCAGTGTGTGTGTGTGTGTGTGTGTGTGTGTGTGTGTGT